ATTTTCTGAACATTTACCTAAAGCTTGAGAATATATTGACAATGTTCACAAAAAATGCAATACAGTTTCCATTTTTGTAAAAGATAACTTTCTCTAGATTAGTAAGACATAGATGTCAATGTATATAATTAGCCTACTATATTTCAATTGGGAGAATAATTTTTAATGTTTTTGTTTTATAGTACTTTTCTGTGCTTTGTCTAACTGAAATAAGATACAATTTTCACGTATGTGAATTTGAATATATTAATAAAAGGCTTATAATGCATCCACTTAATATGTGTTGATTGTCTTTCAAAACTATGCTTGTGTTTTTGTAATATAGCTAATATAATTACCAAAATTAATTACAAATAAAAACAATAGAACACACTTTTCCATTTTCTACTGTCAGTCTTTGATCTATTTTTAATTTTTCTTCTCTCTTCCTTATTTGTATTCATTTTGATGCCCATCAATTTGTTTCTCTATTACTGTTATTTTTGCAATTTTCTGGTTCCTTTATAGCTTGTACTACTCTCTTTGATCTGCTTCCCTTCAAGCTTTATTTTTGGTGCTGTTTTTCATGTTCTATAAAAAATCTTTTTGCCCCTCTTCACTTTATTCTTTTGATTTAACTCCTTCTTAGAACAAGAACAAACTCCAGCTTTGAGTGAACAGGTAAATATTTTTGAAAGAGTGAGTCCGGAGAATCCTCGGCTTCGCGCTGATGAATAGAAATGGTTGAGAGCCTACTTCAAAGGCCCTCAAGAACAAAGAACCCTTTCTGAGGCCACTAACAAATCCACCAATTTCTTCTGACCCATCTTTGCCAAAAGATATGAGCTAACGACAGGACAGAACTGTCTTGTAAGAGTAGCCAAGCAGGCTTGGGAACAAACATATCCTTGACATAATAAGGGGAAAACATACTGTTTATCTCTTTAATAACCATCCTGAGGAAAATTAATGTTACTTTGTCCTTTGTGCAGAACAGTAATTGGATTGTGTGTTTCATTTATATCTGGACAAAGGCCAGGATATTGAAATACTTCTCAATATTAGATTTTCTTGTTTAAAAATTAGATTTTATTGGCATTCTCTTTCCGAGATTTCTTCATTAAAAGCTTCATTAAACATAAATCTCCTTTTACACAGCAGAAAACAAAATTATTTTAAGGAGGTCATTTTAAAAGTCTTTTGAAAGGGTGGTGCTAAGCTTTTGACTAAAGGCTTGTCTTTTCCCAGGGATCTGGCATTCCAGGGATAAAATGATTGACTTTGCCTTCATGTGTCTAATATTAATGACATGGATGTTTGAAGCTATATAACAAGTTACCATGTTCTAGAGTCTAAGGCTATTACAAATATGATATCAAAAAATTGGGGACTAGGAAGTATGCTGTAGAGGTTTGATTCAGTGATTCCAAACCTTGGGGGCCTCGTCCACTCTGGAAGAGATGAAGTCATCCATCAAGGAGAGACAGTTTGCATAGCTACCGTGCTGCAAAATACAGCTGAGCATTAAGTACGTTTCTGCACTTAACTTTGCTTATGGCTTCTAGAAAGGTACTAGCAACAGGGAAAGTGATGGTAATAGAGTTTTTCTACCTTAAAACCGATTACTCTTTACTCCCTGCAAAAAATTGGACAGACCCACTTCTCAGCACTGAGTAACATAATTTTCTGGGCAGAGTTTGTGCAAGCCCAGTTATATCCTTTGTCTCTTGATGTTCCGTGTTCCTGGCTCATGCCTTTTGGAGGGAAGAGAGATAATTAAATAGTTTGGTTTTAAAGGCCTTCCCCACTGGACTGCAAGCTTTGTGTGTAAAAATAAATAAATACATAAATAAACAAATGCCATGTGAGATGTCAAAAAGGGACAATCCTAATAAAGACTGAGACTATCTAGAAGAACTGAAAACCAAGATATAGATGTCCACGTCAAAGCCTGTGAAGTGAGAACATTTATTCCATGATGACTGAAAACTGAATGTAAAACATTTATCAATGATATATATGGTTTTTTTTCCCCTAACGGAGAAAATAGCAACAAAAAACCCCCCGAGTTTTCTCATATCAGCTTGTAATATTTTGTTAGTTTCTACCTATAATCTTTTCAAGGAAATGGCAGATGAAATGATCTCGTCTCTGCTCTGGGTGGGTGTGAGGTGGGGGTGGTGATTTAGACTCAGAAGGGCTGGGGGCCCGGGAGCCAGGGCTGGGTGTGGAGCAGGAGCTCAGAGGAACCGGATTCTGTGGCTGCAGAAGCCGGGATGGGTTGGAAGCACGCATTTGGAGAGAAGGTAGAACCAGAACTGGATTCTAGGCCATATGTCCCCTGGGGTCAGGGCAAGAAGCAAAATGGAGCAAGGAGGTATGAGGAAGTGACACCTGGAAAAGTCTCCAAGGCCACTACCACAGCTTATGGAGCATCAGAATGAGCCCCATGGGGCAAGAGCAAGATTGCAAGGTTGCGCAGCTGGTCCACTCACTCCCTCCCCAACTATATGCTTGAAGTCATGCTTTACTTGGGGTCTCCTGCTGGAAAGCCTGTACTCTTGGCCTCAGTGCGAGTCAGGAGTAATCCCCACAAGCACGCCTTCAAACCTTCTCTTCCCTGGGTGTAAACACTCCTGCTTCTCCGCAGGTTGCTGGGTGCAGGGTGCAGAGGTCTGGCAGGGGCCTCACAGAGCACAGGGCAGTTGAGGTCTGAGTGACTTCACAGGGAAGAAGGCGACTGGAATCAGATGGTTATGAATCTTGGACGGCCACCTGATCACTCCTTCCACATCTCCCTCCTCGTTAACATCCTTCAAATAGCTGGTCCAGGGAGTCTAACGAATTCCATGACAACTGATAAAAAAGAAAATGGCATCTTTCTGGCAAAGAGAGAGTGTGAAAAAAATGTAAAAAAGGAGCAGCCAAAATCACCAAAAGATAAATAATATTCACCAGAGAAGTATTCTGTGAAGCAGAACAAATTCGAAGGAAGTACAAAGAGTTTAATGAAGCACGCTGTCTCTGCAGGAAGCCCACAGGGCAGAAATGCAAGGACTGAGGCTTTGAAGGATGCAAGACAATGGAAAAATCGCTAGGGATACGAAAGCAGTCAGAGGAACCCTAGTGGGCTTTAATGTATTCTTACTGGTGCAATACAGAGAAAGCGGATGGAAAGAAGGTCAGGGTATAGAAGACCCAAAGGGCATGATTATTAAGGCAGATATGAGTGTCACGTATTAAACTCTGTGACCTGTCAATAGTCTATTTCCTGACCCTCCAACAGTGCAGTTCTTGGAACTCTTGTCCATCTGTATTTGCCTGTCTGGTCATCTTATCCAGTTTCATGGCTCCAAACAGTCCATGTGCTCACACCTCTGGCTGAACTTCTCCCCTCAACGTTTGCTTCTTATATTCATCTGCCCACCCCATAACTCCATATGGATGTATGACAGGCATCATAAGCTAAACATGTCAAAAACTGAACTCCTGATACCCCGTGTCTGCCAACCAGCTGTCCTTCTTAATGTCATCACCAAATGGTAAGTGGGGACTCCATTCTACTGAATAGCTTGAGTCATACCTCACATCCCATCCATAGTCAGTTCAGCTCAACCTGCAAAAAACTCCAGAATCTAACAATTTCTCATGACCTCCTCTGCAGCTCCCTAATCCAAACCACCACACTGCTGATCCTCTCTGGCCTCTCCACCTCTGTCCCAGGCCCCTCACATTCCCTTCTCTTGCAGTGTGATCCCACGCCACTCTACTGCTCAAACCTGTAAGTGCCTTCCCCTCTGTGAATAAAATCCAAAGTCTTATGAGGACTTGCAGCTGTCTTTGTGACTTCTCCTACAGTCTGGCTCTTGCTGCTCTCCCTCTCACCTCCTCTGTTCCAGGATCATGCCAGGAACGATGTCTCCTGCCTCAGGGTCTTGGCACATGCTCCAGTTGCCCACATGGCACACTCCTTCACTGCCTTCAGATCTTTCCTCAAATATGGAAACTGTTCTTCAATGAAGACAATATTAGGACATGCTGACTTTTAAGAGCCATAGACAATGAAAGTTCAAAGCAAAGACTGACTTAGGAGACATCACGACAATGATAACTGTTTGCATTAGTGCTCCATACTACAAGTATATTTACATTATGAAAACAAAACTGTGAATGGATGTTATCATCCATATTTTTCAATGGGATGCAAAAGCTCAAATAAGCTGCCTCGTCCAAGGTCACACAGCCAGTAACTTCTAGAACCAGGAAATGCAGGCTTCACTTCAGTTTTGTGACCCCAGAACAAGTACTCTTGCTTCTCTATATTGAAATTCGTTATATAATGATAATAATAATAGTAATAATGGAAATGATAATAAAAATAATAATAGCAGTGATAGCAGCTAGCGCTTCTTGTGTACTCCATACAAAGCACTGTTTTAAGCCTCTTACATGCATTCATTAATTTTATCCTTGCAGACTCTTAGGAGGAAAGTACTATTATTATCTGCATTTTGCAGAGGCGGAGAGGGAGACAGTACCAGGGTAGGTAACCTGTCCAAGGTCAACCAGTGGTAAAGGCAGAGCCAGGATTTACAGCCAGATGCTGGGTCCTTAACCAGCACCCGAAATCCCTGCTTTGTCTTCTAACATTTTCTCTCTGCTTTTGCTAGATGTGCTAGATAGTGTACAGTTGGACAGGAGTGAATTCTCCAGCTGGCTAATTAGAGATCAGCTGTATCCACCAAAGATGTCTTGAAAGCATATGCAGTTGAAGAAATACCATCTTTAAATTGAGGTTAAATGTGAAAAATTGCAACATAATCAATAACTGTCAGAGGTTGTAAAAGCCAGTTCAGCAGAGGCTTGTGGCCCCTGAAATATACCATTGACCACCTTTTGTAAGGTAGATGTTTTGTCTCTAATGGAGATGCACAGTCCTGCAGATTAACTTTTCACTCCAGCAACCTTTGCATTTCTCCAGAGAAGAACCCAGCAGGGAGAGGAGCAAGATCTTGCCTCACCTGGGGTGACTGTAGGCGATCTGCTTGAACTCGTTGTTCCAGTTGGGTCTCCCATAGAAGGTCTTCTGTTTTAAGCCTGTGATCACATCAGTATTTTCATCCCAATGTAAAGCTATGTGAACAGCCTAAAGTAAATTTGTGGCATTAGATGACATTTAGAAAAAAATATATAAGCCTTCTATCAATAAAGAATAAACTAATCATGTTCATTTGTAGATTTAATTAAAACATGTGTACAGGGCTGGCAATGCTTATCACTATTTGCAGATGTCACCAATGCTGTATTTTAGCGCAAGCATCATATCTCATTTATGTCTGAATCAGGCCTCGTCGGAACCAAGTGCCTTTTTATACATAGTAGGTGTGCAATAACGTTAACCTAGAAAGAATATTTTCCTTTAAAAGGATGAAAGTAATACAGTAAATGTGGTTAAGAAAAAGCAAGCACTACATGACTTCCTTCTTTTCCTGCCAAACTTTTCAACAATTCATCTCTACCTGCTATCCCCTTTCACTTAACATTGGCTCCTGGGGAGTTGAGAAGGGCATTATCAGATTACAGTGCTATAAAATGTCTGGGAAGAAACTGCATCTTACAATCAGACCTGCCTAGTGTGTTGAAACGGTGTGATGTATACAGTCCGGTTTCAAGTGCCGGGAGGCCGTGGAGCCCGGCAGGCAGAACATGGTGGCCAGAGCCTAGCAGGCGGCTTGGCTGGAGCTCTGTGCCTAATCATTCGCCTTGGAATTAAGTGACTCCATCCAGGCATCATGTAGCTAGTGGTCAGTAAGTGAGAGCCCACAGCATAATCCCTTGTGATCATTTTTTTGTTTGTTTGTTTTTGTTTGTTTGTATGTGTTTGGTTTTTTTTGAGACAGTCTTGCTTTGTCGCCCAGTCTGCAGTGCAGTGGCGCGATCTCAGCTCATTGCAACCTCCGCCTCCTGAGTTCAAGCAATTCTCCTGCCTCAGCCTCCCAAGTAGCTGGGACTACAGGTGCGTGCCACCACACCTGGCTAATTTTTTTTTTTTGTATTTTTAGTGGAGATGGGGTTTCACTGTGTTAGCCAGGATGGTCTCAATCTCCTGACCTCATGATCCACCTGCCTTGGAGTCCCAAAGTGCTGGGTTTACAGGCGTGAGCCACCACGCCCGGTCATGATCATGTTTTAAGTTGCTGTCATTTATTTTAGCCCCTTCTGCGTTCTGGTAGCTACCTTGCTTCTCGCCTCCTGGGATCTGTGTCACCAGTGCTCATCCCTTAGACCCCTGTGTGGTGCTCTATTCGTCCTCATCCTCTGACTCATCCTGACCCTGACCAGTTTGGGTAACAACCCTGCTGGGTGCAACTCATGCCCCAGGTCCCCACTGCAAACCTGACTTTCCTGGCTGACTTTCTCTCCAGTCTAAAAAAGTAGTTGAATCTAGGGAGGTTCAGCTGAAAATAATGGAAGTGTTCCAACAGGTCAGGAGACAATGGCAGGTTGATCTCAGAAATCCAGGCCAATTCTATATAAAAGAAACCTGAACTCATATGTTCATCACAGCAGTATTCACAATAGCAAAATCATGGAACTAACCTAAGTGTCCATCAACAGTCGACTGGACAAAGAAAATGTGTTATATACTTACTATGGAATACTATGCAGCCATAAAAAGAATGAAATCATGTTCTTTGCAGCAACATGGATGGCGCTGGAGGCCATTATTCTAAGTGAACTAACTCAGAAACAAAAAACCAAATACTCTGTGTTCTCAGTTATTAACAGCAGCTAATCAATGGGCACACATGGACATAAAGATGGGAATAACAGGCACTGGAGGCTCCAAAAAGGGGGGATGGTTAGAAGGGAGTGAGTTTTGACAAAGAATCTACTGGGTACGATGTCCACTATTTGGGTAATGGGTACACTAAAAGCCCAAACCCCACCAGCATGTGCTGTACCCATCTCCCAAATGGGCACACACACCCTCTGAATCTAAAATATAAAGATAAAAAGAAATCCAGGTTGTAGAAAGTTGTGAGCAGGCAAGTCTGACCCAGATGGCAGGGCTACTGCTGCAAAAGAGTTGGGGTATAGGACTTTGTGCAAAAAGAAGGTGGGGAACAGTGGCAGAGGGTGTTAAGTGATATGTCAGGTGCGGGAAGAGAACGAGCAAAGCCATGGGTGTGTGACCGTGCAGCACTGTGTGATGGGTGAACACATCCTTTGGTGGCTCTGGTGCCAGAGGAAACTGATGGGAGTGGGACACAACTAGTGAGTTGGAGTCAGGCTGGGAAGGGCCTTAAAGTCCTTGCTGAGAAGTTTGGGCACCATTTCACACACAAAAAGGGCCTTCCCTACTTACACTTGTGGTACCGCCAATCACTGATGTTCAAACATTTGGAATGATATTTGTCCCATATTTCTCAGCCCAATGTTCAATTAATCTCCAAACTCTGTTGATTTGCCCTTCATAATACCTCTTCCATCTGTCCCTTCTGTTCTTGTCATTTTGCCACTTTGAGGTTGTTGAATTCAGTTTAACAATTGGGTATTTCTAAAACAGCCTCTTGATTCTTTCCCGGCAGAATGCACCAATTATTTTTCCTTTAAATGTTGAAATTAGTGATTTTTCTGCCTGAAATTTGGGAGTCGAAATAATTTTCAACATGTCATGGCAAAAATGTAAGACATCTATTTTAATTTACTCGTGTTTAGAAAAAAATGTATATTTTATAGCGTATTCTTGGAAGTAGTAGAGATGGGAGGGGGCAGGATTGCGTTGTCGCCAAATCAACTTCAGTTCTGGGTTATGAGAACCTCAGTCCCATAGCTCCCAGTTGGCAGGGAATACCTAGGTGCACACTGGGATCAATGCACCTTAGAAGTAGAAGAGCAGGCACAGTACTTGAAAGCAGAAGACAGAAGCTGTCTGTACTTCACCAAACCGTTCATCAGTCAAAAATCCCACTTGAATAAGGAAAGTGTTTGTTTGGAAAACATAATTAACACTATATAATTCATTAAGATGTTTCAAGCCTGGTTCCCAAGAAACCTACATTTCAAATTATCCCAAAGGATTAAATATTTAAGAAGGACTGCAAATAAGACCATAAAAATTCATTAAGCTACTGAATTTCTAGCAGAGTCTTATTCATTTGCAGATGTACAGAGTCAAATTACAGTGATGTTCCTCAGGGCCAGTGTGTGTATGTGTGTGTGTGTGTGTGTATGTGTGATGTACATACACAGAGCATTCACTTGTAAATGCAGTGATTAATGCCAATCTCCCAGGCTCAAATACACTTTCCTTAAAAGTATATATCAATAATAGCTGCTGATTAGAATGTATATTGTGTAACCTAGTAATCACTTCATTGTTAATTCCCATATTTGAGGAGTTAAAATGAATTACAATGTAACAGTTATCATTCAAGAGCATCAACATTGAAATACTACCATAGTCAATATTTTGGTATACATTATTTTTGGTAAATTCAATCTTAATGTTTCATTAATACAATATACTGCAGAACCCCTGCCAAAACAAAAGATCATCTTGATCTTAGGTAAATAAACATACATGCACACAATTTCTAAGAACACCTTAAGAGAACAAACTCTGGACAAATTATGTATTCATAATAATTATTTTCTATAGATGCTCACATACTTGACAATACAAAATGTTGAATGTAAACACCTAGGAATCTTTTTTGCTTAACTCTGAACAGCTCAAGGCACAGAATTAGAACCAGTCAGGAACTCAACATGATACAGCCAATCAGTACTATTCATTTGATGTCACTTTTAAAGGGACAAATGCAAATTTATTTGGGATTTCCAACCTCTGGATTGTCTTCCATTGTCTGACCCTTTCTATTCCTCAGCAAGTTAACTGTGGCTTCTTTTTTTGGTTCTTTGATTGTTACAACTTGAATCACTCTTGTTAATCTGATTTTATTTCACTCTCCTTTCCTTTTTAAGAACATAAAAATAATTCTGTCATGCTATCAGAGTGCTACATAGCTCATTATTGAAATTGTTTCTCATTGCTATTAGATGAGTTAAGCAATATTGCTTATTCTCAGAGTCTTATCAGTACCTGATTTTCATCCCAGCCAGTAAGAAATATATGATAACTCAGAAAGTGAGTTTTCCCTTGCTCACTCATCCGTGTTTCCAGTGAGAGTAAGAGATCGGCAAACCACTCAAAAGCTCTTGCATCCCGGCAAATCCAGTAGAAATACACCTGTCAAGAGAGAAGGCAAGTGAACGGATCTATCCCTCTTTTCATATGTGCTGATAATCACAGACTACTTTATCTCCCTCAAATTATTTGAGCCCAAATGGGCACTTCTGCAAAATAACATGTTTTTTTTTTTTTTTTTTTTTCTGTCAGTGAACAAACAGTCACACTGTGATTTCTTTAGAAAAAATTCACATTGTGTTTGAAAAAGCCCAGAGTGAATTCAGAGAGTCAGGAGCCCGTGGGCCGTGCCAGTTTCTCTGGATGAGGATCAACTCACCACATTTCTGGCTGTGCTGCCTCTGAACAAGATTAATAATCATAACTAGCTGTGCCTTTCACTGCTCCCAAAGGGGGATAAACCGTTAGACCAACCCCTTCATCTTTACTTATGACCTAAGCTCTGGATTTGAACTTTGTTCTCCAGAGACCCCAAAGGCTTGGGCACTAATCCACTTCACTAGCTACGGTCTCTGGAGAGTGGAGATTATGGTAATTTCAGAATCAAGTCACACAGGCCAGAAATTTCCACTCACTGAAACATATCAGTGTCCAAGAAAGCTGGTGGGTGGTGGCTGTGCCTGTGTGTCAACTGCTATAATGAAATTATGTCTAGGAAGAATTATTTTTTTAACTCTCGGTGTTAAGCAAATGGCATGTGACAAGAAGTAGTTCGGGTTTGCTAAAATAAAAGCTTAGTTTTTGTGCTTCGAGTTTCAAATAATTGCATCTAGAAGAAACCACAGGAGAGAAATCTATTAATTCTCCCAATTTTTCTCACACTCCCACCCCTTGCTGCCCACACCTCTCTCTCTTGTGCCTTCTCCCCAAAGAGATATCTCTACGGCTTAACAATATCCATGAGGGCTGGTCTTGATTCCAGCTGCTGCCTGGTAAATCCCCACCAGGAAATACCTCATGTGGTGATCAATGTTCTCTTCTCCCCTTCTCTGCCAGCCAGCTTGTAAGCTCACAATCATATAATCAGAGCTATAAATGAGATTTAATTAATAGATCAAATTCATGAGACAAAAATGAGTTTATTTCAAAGCTAAACATCTTGTCTATTCGCTTCATGTTTAGGCAGGACTTTATACTATCAATTATTTGTAAGAGTAAAAGATGCTGAGAATAAGGCCTCTTCTTTCAAGAATTAGGCCTACATATTTGTTGGACAGCTCCTGTTCACAAGGGGACTTCAGATATTAATTTCGGGACAAATAATCCCTCAGTCTCTAAGCGCAAAGACCTTTTCTCAGGAAGAGAGAGGGTTGCCTTTCTTTTCCTGACACTTATTTCTTCCTGGGGATGATCTGTGCACAGCCTCTCCAGGCAGAGCGAAGCGGGGATTCCCTTTGGTGACGCCCTCTGAATCCCCATGAGCAAGGGGCTCAGGTTCATCCATTCGCTCACTGATTCAACAAATATGTATTGAATGCTTCCTACCTGTCCAGACTCTTCTATGTTCTGGAACTATACAAGTGAACAAGACAGGGCCAAAAAAAAAAAAACAAAAAACAAAAAAAAAACTGATGTCCTCTTAGAGTTTGCATCTTAGCAGGAGAAGGACGATGATAGGTCAGTAGAATATAGGCTATGTCAGATGGTGAGAAGTGCATGCAGAAACCCCAGGTGGACTAGGAAGTGTTGCAATATTAAGTCGAATGGTCAAACGGGGGCTCATTGAGCCCTTTCTTGTTTTTGGCCTCTTGTGTTCACTTTTATAGTTCCAAGGCATAGAACAGTCTGGAGACATAAGAGGCATTCAGTACATATTTGTTGAATCAGCAATGGATGGACATGAACCCTCAATTCGTGGAGATTCATGTCCCCTCTTCATGAGAAGGGGACATTGGAGCAAAGACCTGGAAGAGGCGAGGGAGTCAAATGCTTAGGGGAAGAGCTCTGCAGATGGTGGGAAGTTGTCCTGAGTGAGACCTTTCCAGGAAGAGCCTGGAGGCCCATGTGGCCGGAGGCCAGAGACGGCAGGGAGAGCAAGGAGACGGGCAAGGGGTGGGCTGGGGGAGCCATAGCGTTGTAGGGCTTTGGGGCCATCGTTGACTTTCACTCTGAGGCAGGAAAGCACAGGGAGTTGGCGAGCAGGGGAGTTCCATGGTTCACCGCAGGTGGCAGGATCTCTCTGGCTGCTGTTTTGAGAACAGAACCAGGGGATGGAGGGTGAGGGAGGAGGAAAGGAGGCCAGTTAGGGGCGGATTTTATATTCGAGGTTGGTGATGAATACTGCTATCTGCTTTCTTTTCACTTTGTGTAGTGCCTAATCCAAATTACTCTTTGAAAACCTTAGCTCTCACTTTGCCTTGCTTTGCTCTGGGTGGAAATGAAAAATCTACTGGCCGAATTAACACGGTGCTCACCTACGCACGACCCCCTCCTCCCTGGCCTTGGTAGTCTGTTTCATCTCAGAGTATGGCACTGGGCATAGAGCAAATATCATTGATTTATTTTCTCCCTTTCTCACTTTTTAAGGAACATGCTTAAAACAGATTCATAGATGGATGATAAACCAGAACATTTGCTTTATAAAAAAAATCCTCCAATTTCAAATCTAGTTCCAGTCATACTTTCTTGAAAACTATCCCTATCTTAGCTTCCTCCGTACATGAAACTTTATCCTTTCAAATAGAAATCCTTCTTTACTTTCTCGTGCCCTAGCTGCGTGTCAGTGTTCTTCGGGTTTGTTAAGCCTTTTATACTTTTTGCTTCCTTGTAATGGCTTTGTGTGTTTTTCCCTCCGTAATTGACTCGTAAGTGACACTGGGCAGCTTTGGTGTAAGAGGCTATGGAGGAAAAATGGATAGGCTCAGTAGAAGCGTTTCAGGCAGAAAAAGAAAGAAAGGGACTTTGAACAGAAGCAAAAGGTATTTACTTTGACTTTCTTTCATCTTTCTAATGGTGGGGGACTCTCACTGGGAAGGGACATAAGAGTTCTACCTCTGCATTTCGCCCATGAGAAAGGACCTGGTCAATGACAGACCAAGTATCCCAAACAATAGGCTACAACTCTGTGATCTGTGCTTTCCAATGCTCACTCCACCTTAGTCTCCAAAAATAAAACAACCCTGAAATCAGCTACCTGTAGAAAGCATGCCTTTTCAGAATTCCATGGCTGATCTCAGAGACCAAAAATACTTGAATTTACTTTAAAAGATTTTATTAAATAGAAAGTCATTCTCAGTAAAATAACAAAAGTTCTGAACTTTCATAGTAATAAAATTATTATCTTTTTTACAGGACTCATCCCACACTTTTTTTTTTTTTTTTTTTTTTTTTTTTTTTTTTTTTTTTTGAGAGGGAGTCTCTCTCTGTTGCCCAGACTGGAGTGTAATGGCGGGATCTTGGCTCACTGCAAGCTCCACCTCCCGGGTTCAAGTGATTCTCCTGCCTCAGTCTCCCAAGTAGCTGGGATTACAGACATGTGCCACAATGCACGACTAAGTTTGTATTTTTTAGTAGAGATGGGATTTCTCCATGTTGGCCATGCTGGTCTCGAACTCCTGACCTCAAGTGATCCACCCACCTCAGCCTCCCAAAGTGCTGGGATTACGAGCATGAACCATCGTGCCCAGCCACATTCTTGTAGATATAGTGGATGTCTAGATGTTTTGGGAGGCCCCTCTGGGACTGTGTCATGGGGTTGGTGGTTCTGTGTGTATGTGGCCTGTTACAGACCTTAGCTGTCACATCGTTCCCAAGCACTAACGATCAGCCCAAACTCAGCCATGTCCATTTGCAAAGGGCTTGGGTCTGAGTGACGGTCACAAGGCTGGGCTCTCTGTGTGTCCCTTCTCATTTTCATGTTTTCCCAAGCCTAGGCTTCTCTTTAAGAATTCTTCAGCAGCACATAGGGACCAGGTCAAAGAGGTCTGGGGCCAGTAGGAAATAGAACTCTGCTAAATTTTGATAAACAGTTTTAGAAAATGAATTGGGAAGCACTACCAATCTGTGTTACTACGAGAGCTCAGACTCTCCAATCAAAGTTGGATGCTTTCAGGCGATTGCATCTCCAAAGCTTGTGCTACATCTTGAATAGATATCCATGAACACAGGCAGAGGGCCCTTTCACAAACACAATCTGTATGTCTTTATATCCAAAGTCAATTTCCAGAGGATGAAACAGAAAAAAAATTATTTACCTATATATTTATTTATGGCCCAGAATCCCTCTAAACAAGGAAAGTGTACACAAGAATACAGATTTAGGATACAGTGTAGCATGGTACAACAACTCAACGTTGTGAGCCTATGAGATCCATCTGCAGTTGTAGACTGCTGACGGCTTCACCATGCAGGTAGAAGTTGCAAATAACTTGTGCAACTGGGCACAAGTTTCTTAACTCGAACCTAGATTACTGCATATGTAAAATGGCAATAAACACAGAACAATAGCTCATGAGGTTATCGTGAGGATGAAAGGATATTTTTACTGAAGCATTTAATGCAACGTCTGGCAGACACAGTAAGTACTCAGAAGATGTTTGCCGCTATTGTTGCTATCCTTGTTTGTCATTTGGAGGAGCTTAGAGAATGAAGAATGAAGACAATCTATTATAAAGCAAAGAGGGACATGCGTCTTGCTTGGCATGTGTTCCCACTGGTCACTCCTGGTCACTGAGAAGGGAAGCCAGACTTGACCTCTGGCACCAGTGACAGAACCAGAATCTCAGCATTCATCATGAAGCCGTGCTCCATGAAGGGGAAGCCCCTCACCGGGTTCAGTGTGTACTAAACCAGCCTAGAGGCATTTTACAGGCAGCCAGGGGCCCACCTTGACCATCGCCTCCTCAAGGAGAAGGGCAGTGGCTTGCAGTGCCACCTGCCTCCTGCTGGGCAGCATGCCTCTGTATCCCACATGGCAAAAGAAAGAACAGAACAGACAGAAGCTTGAAGCCAGCAGGATGACAGAAACTCTGCATAGAGGGAGAATCAGGACCGTTTTCCAAAAGGAGAATTTCTCTCCATGAAAAGATAAAGACTGGTGTTTA